TTCCTCATCATTCCATGATGAATGTGGTCAGCACCTATTGTCTCAAATGAAGGAGCACCACCAAGACCACCTTCTCACCGCACTTCCAGGGAGGCCTGGCTCCCTTGGTTTGGTTTTGAAGTCACTGAAGCGGTACAAGCATCTAGACTCACTAATCATAGAATTCAGTTACCCACACACTGACTCTTACAAGCACGAACACATGAGTTCCATCTTTGCCTTTCTTCCTGTCTCCCTCCAGTCTCTCTTTTAACTACTCCCCTGACTGGTAACTCTTCTGTCTTCTTAGAGGCATTGTGTATTTCTGGCTGTAAAATTAGAGTTGGACTTAATAACAGAGGCAAATGTAGAATGGCCAATCACAGTCCCGGTTTTTCTTGTTCCTAGACAGATAGCAGGTGTAACATGAATCTTAAAAGGTCTTATTAAATAAAAACCTGGAGCCAGACATCAGGGTTAAAACCTGAGAGATCAGAGGACTAGGAAAAGCCACAGCTAACCTTACCTCACCAACTCCACAGCTTCCAAAGAGACCTACTTCCTGTATACCCACGTCTATATACCTTTCTGTTCTGTCAACTAATTTCCTCTCCGCCCAGCTACGTCACTTCCTCTTCCAGCCCAGCTCTGTCACTTCCTGTCTGTACAGACCTCCAGACCTTTATGGTAAACTAGTGTTGGCATTTAAGGCCTGTGCCAACACACCTGGCCCTGTTTCCAGTGTGGCTTTGAACTCACAGAGATCCAGACAGATCCCTGCCTCCTGGGTGATAGGATTAAAGGTGTGTGCTACCACTGCCTGACTTCTATGTTTAATATAGTGGCTGGCTTCTTCCTCTGATCTTCAGATAAACTTTATTGGGTGACACAGATAAAATATCACCACAGGCAGGTCCCCACACTGTTTGGGACCCAGGTTCCTTCACCTCTTGACTTCCGTATCCCCCCCCCCCCCCGCCTCAACATAGAAGAGGCAAAGATCCAAGAGGGGGCTTTGCCTACTGTTTAAAACCTTGATCCTGAGACTCTAGATGGGGCATGACTCCATCACTGAGGCCACCTTGACAGAATGGCAGGACTCTGTGGTACAGAAATAGAAATGAAGCCAAGCCTCATACGACCAACAAGGCGGAGTGTCTTTATTGGGACCGCAGCAGGAGCTGTCTGACTCAAGCAAGCCAGAAGGAGGCAGCACTGAGCAGCAGTGACCGGACTGTCCCCACAGGAAGCCTTCCTTGACCTCGTCCTTATCATTGAATTATGGACATGATTTAAACAGTTTCTTTTTTTTCCTCTGACACACAAACATCTTAGCCTTGTTCTTGGTGGGCCTTGAGTTATAGCCTCAGCCAGGACATTTCTCAAATGATGAGCACATCTGTGCACAGGGCGCAGTAGAGTCTGGTCAGAGCACACAGAATGATGTCATAGAGAACTCAAGCCTTCTGTCCCACTTCAGTTTTCCACTGGGTGTCTGCAGCATCTAACGGGGCTTTGAAAGTTCCTGAGAAGACACCACGGTGACACTCACCATCATCTAATCATTGAGGTGCTATCAAATAAATGGAGCTAAGTGAAACCTCCCAAGTGAATGGGTTTTAAGTTAACCACAAGCAACTGAATCTACTGGATGGATTTGGGTCTTCAGTAGCTGTGGCTCCTTATCTTTGCTGGCCATGGTTTTTGTTTGTTTGTTTGTTTTTTAGCTCTCTCAAATCCCATGTGTTTGAGCTTGGTCTCGTCACCAGGGTTCTCACCCTGTAAACACTCTAGTCTATGGTCTAGTGTTTATGACAAAGGTGTTGAGAGCACAGGGAGGGGATCAGAAGAAAATGCACACGAGCTTTCAGTAGGAGTGATCCTTTCAACTTGACAGAATCTAGGACCAGTCAGAAGACAAACCTCTGGGATTTCTGGACTTGGTTAACAAAACACCCATCCTAAATCTAGACAACACCATCTCATGGGTTTGGGTCATAAAAGCAAGAAAGCAGCTAACGTGAGACTCCATGAAAGGGAGAAAGGAGCTAACATAATCACTCACCTCTCTGCTTCCTGATGACAGTGCCATCAGTGGCCACGGGCTCCTGCCGCCATGCCTTCCTCCACCGTGATGGACTGCACACTCAACCCGTGAGCCAAAAAAAAAAAACAAAACAAAACCTCCCTCTCCTGAGCTGCTTTTGTGGGGTGTTTGTCACAGTGATGAGAAAAATGATTAAAACAAAAGGTAAAATCTGAGGAGCAGAGTTTGTCTGTCATTGGTCACCTTACTGTGATCTCTGTCCTTCTGAGCCTGGAATGCAAAGAGGGTGGGAATGTGGTCCTCACCCCAAGGAGTCAGCTGACAACCTCAGAGCATCATCAACTCCCCAGCCTCTCAGAGAGGCCCCGAAGTTCACGATGAACACCTGGTGCTGGAGCAGAGCCGCCAAATCAAAAACTAGGGGAAAGAGCTTCCAACAGGGGCTGATTCCCTTCATTGTATCAAAGTAGAAATACCCAGAAGGCTGCTGAGAGGTAGCTAACATACAAGCCCTCTCCTTCCACTTCAGGACTCAGAGAAATAAAGGTTCAGAGTGGCCATGCACCACACAGCCTGCCAGAGGTCCAGACTTCAGTATGCTTCCGGCCTGCTGGGGTCCCTGTGAGCTTACAAAGCCTTCCCTGACTGCCACAGTTTGATCTTAGTAGTCAACCAGATAGAATCCTATTTAGAGGCCACTGAGGGAAGCCGAGCAAAAAGAGCTGAGGGGAACCACCCAGGACCAAAAGCATCCTCCTATATAAAGGCTGTGGCAGGGGACAGGGGCGGGGCCCTCCACCCACATATCTCACCCACCTCCGGTCCCTCCCTACTTCTCCATTCCAGCCCCTGCATCAATTCTGACGGGGGTCGGGGGAGCAAATATTCTTGCTTACAAATTGAAGGCTCATTGAGGCCAATGATCTATAGGACAAGGCTCTCAAATCACACAGTACGCTCTATAGATTGCGTGCTTCCTTGGGTAGAAACTGAAAAACAGATCCATGCAATCAATTTTAAAGGCGACTCACCAACCACAAGCAAAACTGATTCATAAGTTAAGAGAGTGCCTTACAAGTCCCAGCCCTGACTGTTTTCTTATTTAAATAAGTGATGGTTTCTCCCTAGACCTCACTTCTCCCTGAACCAAGAGGAAAACTCAGCCACCACTGAGCAAATGCCTAGCTCAACTGAAGGACCAGAGTGAAAGCCTGGGGGAAGAAACTGCTCATAAAACTTTCAGCAGCTCTGAAATCACTGGCTAAACAAGTCATTGCAGACAGCGGTTTCTATGCATTTAATAGCAGAGCCCGTTCTAAAATTCCCTTTGCACTCAGCAACTAAGAGAGCTTTGCTAATGCGTTGCTAACTGGTACATTCTTCACAAAGGCCATCAGAAAGAAATAACTCCACATGCCAAGGTACAGATGCTCAAAGCTGAAGCAGAAAGCAAACCAAATGTGTGAATACACAGAGAGAGAACATTTCTCCACGCTTCTTTTTTAACCTTGGCATTGAATCAACCATTAAAGTATAAGGCATGCACCCTTCTTAGGAAAGTGTTTTAAGCCCTGAAATTTGAGCAGTACTTTAAAGAACTTGTTCAAAATTCTTACCCTAAATATAAAGAGTAATAAACAGTTTATTACAATGAGGTGTTTAATGACATAGCATGTTGGCCAATGTCACCTGTGAGGTTTCATTTTCCCTTGTAATGACCCCATGAGTTGGTCCAATGGGCATTTTGCAAACAGAGAAATTAAAGATGTGAATAGTGTATTTGCCAGTTCAAGTTGGTGTAACAGACAGAAGATATTCATTGTCTTATCATTCTGTTTTGGAGGCTGGAAGTTCAAGCAGGGTTGGTTTCTGGAAATCTCTCTCTCTCTCTCTCTCTCTCTCTCTCTCTCTCTCTCTCTCTCTCTCTCTCTCTTTCTCTCTCTCTCTCTCTCTCTTTCTCTCTCTCTCTCTCCCTTCCTCCCTCCTTCTCTCTCTGAGAAGGTGTCTTTCACTCTATGTGACCTTCCACTGGTTCACGTGCGTTCCTGTGTCTCATCTTCTAAAGACACGGGTTGTATTAGATTCGGCCCCGCTCAACCTGTAACCATCTCCTCGAAGGCTTGTATTTGTTACTTTTCTCTCTGCTGTGACAGACCAGCTGAGAAAGGCAACATCAGGATGGACGTTTTCTTTGGCTCAAAGTTTGGAAGCACGGTGGCAGGAGTGTGAGGTGGCTGGTGACGTTGACTCCCCCTCAGAAAACAGGGAGACAAACGCTGACCTTGATTGCTTGTCCTTTCTCCTTTTCGTTCAGTGTGGGTCTCAGTCCCTGAGAATGGTGCCCACATTCAGGGCAGATCTCTGCTTCTCAGTTGAATCTTTCTGGAAACATTCTTAAAGACATACTCAGAGATGCGTTTCCACGGTAATTGACTAACTACCAGAAGCTTCAATCCCTAAAGACAGTCATCCTGAAGGTTCAGGCTTCACCTGTGTGTCTGGGAACATCACTGTTTAGTTCATGAAAGCATGTGACATTCATACTGGTGAGTGACAGAGCCAGTATGTCTGAATCCCAAGATGCCTTCTATAAGGAGCCTGCTGTCTCTCTCTCTCTCTCTCCCATGCTTTAACATCTCAGACAGAGTCAGGAGACATCCCGCCACGGGAGCAGGGGCAGTGGAAGCTCCTGGCAGGGAGCCGACGTCACAGCACTGAGCTTCATCCTGGTGTGCTGGGTGACAAAGGACTTGTGCATGCTAGATCTCAGCCCACAGCAGTGCAAGTCAACTGAGGACCTGTCCAAATGGAGCTGAGTAAAAATGGCTCAACCTAGTTCATAAGTGCAAAAGTGGTATTTGAGTTTCCTGCCATAGATTAAGTGTGTGATTCCGTTAGCTTAAAAAAACAACAACAAAAAAAAAAAAAAACAGCATTTCATTTGGACTCTCTTTTCTTTTCTTCAAACTGCCAGCAAATGTCCTGGAAGGCGATTCCATGGACCAGGACGTGGAAAGTCCAGTGGCCATTCACCAGCCAAAGTTGCCTAAGCAAGCCAGGGACGACCTGCCAAGGCATATCAGCCGAGACAGGACCAAAAGGAAAATCCAGAGGTACGTGAGGAAGGATGGGAAATGCAACGTCCACCACGGCAACGTGAGGGAGACCTACCGATACCTGACGGATATCTTCACCACCCTCGTGGACCTAAAGTGGAGATTCAACCTGTTAATCTTTGTCATGGTCTACACAGTGACGTGGCTCTTCTTTGGGATGATCTGGTGGCTAATTGCATACATCCGGGGAGATATGGACCACATGGAGGACCCCTCCTGGACTCCCTGTGTTACCAATCTCAATGGGTTTGTCTCTGCTTTTTTATTCTCAATAGAGACAGAAACCACCATTGGTTATGGCTACCGGGTCATCACGGACAAGTGCCCCGAGGGAATTATTCTCCTCTTAATCCAGTCTGTGTTGGGGTCCATTGTCAACGCATTCATGGTAGGATGTATGTTTGTGAAAATATCCCAACCCAAGAAGAGGGCAGAGACCCTGGTCTTCTCCACCCACGCGGTGATCTCCATGCGGGATGGGAAACTCTGCCTGATGTTCCGGGTAGGTGACCTGAGGAATTCCCACATCGTGGAGGCTTCCATCCGAGCCAAGTTGATCAAGTCCAAACAGACTTCAGAGGGGGAGTTCATCCCCCTCAACCAGACGGACATCAACGTAGGGTACTACACTGGGGACGACCGGCTCTTTCTAGTGTCACCACTGATCATTAGCCATGAAATTAACCAACAGAGCCCCTTCTGGGAGATCTCCAAAGCCCAGCTACCTAAAGAGGAACTGGAGATTGTGGTCATCCTGGAGGGAATGGTGGAAGCCACAGGTAAGACGGGTTCCATCCTGTTAGAAATGCATTCAGTTGAAACTCTCTGATGTGAAATGCTATGCTTATGTGTCCTGTAACCTTAAGTACATGCTCTGAGACCTCTAACCATTTCAGTTTTCAATTTTCGCAGTTTTATGATTTGTTTCTTTCATTTTGTGTGTATGAGTGTTTTGCCTGCGTGTATGTATGGGCACCATGTACACGCCTGGTGCCCACAGAGGCCAGAAGAGGGCATCGAATTCCCTATAACCGGAGTTACAGAGCAGTTGTGAGCCACCATGAGGGTGCTGGGAAACCTAACCAGGCTCCTCTGCAAGAGCAGCCAGTGCTCTAAACTGCTGAGCCATCTCTCCAGCCCCCATTTGCCTTTTTAAAAGCCATTTTAAAAGCAAATTAATGATAATTTTTAATGCACTTTAAATTTCCAAATACTTAATGAAATTAGATTTCGATCTGTGTCCAAAGTTTATTTTGAATGATTTTAGAGCATTTCTCATTTAAATATTTGCAGTTTTGTGTTGGCAAGCCAAAGGGGGAGAGTTAGGCCTTTCAAAAATTAAGAAAAAAATAGCTTAATAAACTATTTTTGCCCCTTCTTTGGCCTTCGTTCATAAAACCCACAGAAGTGTTAAGTGTCTCTCCACACTTGACCCACCCAGTGCTCAGCATACATCGCACTAAAGAACTAAAGATTGGTTCCTCATAATCCTACAGACCTTTTGTCATCAGCATTAGTCATGAATATGTTGGTGGCCTGTTCTCAGGGTTTAAGAACCTAAATTTCATACATGCTTCACATTCTGAGAGCAAAGTGGGTTCTGTCCACATATACTGACAGTATGCTGCAAGTCAAAAGCCTGAGCAGAGCTGCAGGCCTCCCAGGAAGTGTATAAATTCAATCCCATTCACCAACTCTTCATAGTTCTGAGTTGTTGCTACACAGTCCGGGTCCCTTCCCCCCTACCCCCACAATCTGTCCTGTGTTTGGAAACCTCCAGCTTGAAACTCTAGGTTGGTCGGTGTCATGTGGAAATGTATACTCTGTGAACTGGTCTCAGTCTTCCTTAACCTGGTACCCTTTTCCAAAGGGAAGTCCCTGGTCCCTTGCATCTGTCTCCCTGTCTCCCTGCACCAACAGGAGGCAAAGTCAGGATTCCTACCAAGTCGTCCTTATGGGGGAGAGGGAAACTTTTCCAGTAAACTTTTACATTTCAGCAAACTGAGAATGTGAGTCTCTGTGGTCCATCACTTCTCTTTCCACAGAACAAAAGGATTTTTAAAGAATAACAGTATCCACTTTGCCGTCCGTGTCTAAGGAACCCACATTCATGAATTCCACCAATCATGGATCCGACACATTTATAAAGCATCTGTTATTGAATGCTTTTCTGTTTCTTGCCATTATTTCCTAAATAATACAGTATAAATATTTATATAACATTTGCACTGTATTAGGTATTATAAGCAATCTAAAGCATGTGGATGAATGTAGTATCTATGCAAACACAGCTATTTTGTAAGAGGGACTTCAGCATCTGAAGATCTGGCATCTTTAGGGAGTCCTGGAATCGATGCCCTCTGGATATGAGACAGTTTTGCGTTTATCTCACATTTCTGGAGCCAGGCACAGGCCTAGAAGTTTGGTATGCAAAAAGAAGTGAGAAATTGACTCTCTCGGGGGAGCAGCTCTCCAGCACTGGGATGGGAAAGACTATTGCTGACTTCTGAGTCACAAGCTCTTGGTTCCTAAAAGACTTCAGTCTGTGTTTTGAACTGGAACATTGGCTGGCTGGTGTGAAACTCTAAATAGGAGCTGCAGAGAGCAGCAGGGCTACCAGCTCCTCAGGCTCGAGTGTTTTATGTTCTTCTGGGGTAATAATCGATTGGAGCAGAGGGGAAAGGGAGAGGAGGAAGGGGAGGAGGGAGAGGAGGGGGCAAGGAAAGAAAGAAGAAGAGGGAGGAGGAGGGGGGAGGAGGGAGAGAAGAGGAAAAGGAAAGAAAGAAGAGGGAGGAGGAGGGGGAGGAGGGAGAGGAGAGGACAAGGAAAGAAAGAAGAAGAGGGAGGAGGAGGGGGAGGAGGGAGAGAAGAGGAAAAGGAAAGAAAGAAGAAGAGGGAGGAGGAGGGGGAGGAGGGAGAGAAGAGGAAAGGGGAAGAAAGAAGAGGAAGGGGAGGAGGAAGGGGAGGAGGGACCAGATGAGAAGAGGAGGAAGAGAATGAGGTAGAGGAGGAGAGGGAAGGAACAAGGATGGTGAGGAGAGAAATGAGAGAGCATGGTGCCCTTGAATGGGGAACTCTGGCACTTTCAGACAGACCTGAGCCTCTCCACCCTGGCAGAGCCCCAGACTCAGAATCCCCCAGTGGTGTCTGCGGGGACAGCTCCCACAGCATGTGCTGACTGACCATCCCAGTGTTCCTTGCCTCTGGGCAGACTTGGGGATGGTCCAAGGGGAATATTCCTTTTCCTGGTCTGTGTACACAAGAATCCAAGCCTCTGGCTCCCAGTGCAAACCCCATCTCCAACAACAGCAGCCGAGCTCCCACACTCCCTCCAACCTCAAAATATAAATGAATCTGAGCAAGAAAATCATTTTTTCACTGTCCCCAGGGCAGACCTTGTCTTTCTGATGACAGTTTGTGTGGGACAAGACTATCAGCAGTGAGAAACATCCTTTTTAGGATAATTAACAGTGATAGTTGCCTAGGAGCGCTCTTGCCTTTCTGAGAGTTCTTAGCCACACCTGGGTAGTTGCCAGCAAAAAGAATCAAACTCTCTACCACTCCTGAGAAAACACAACACTACTGATTTCCTTTTTAAATATATATTTTTAATATATCATATATTATAATACATTGTGAATATGCTATTTAGTATATTTTTAATATATCATACAATATATTGTAAATATATTCTATTATATAGTGTAGATATATAATATATTATAGATATTTTATAAGTTTGATTGATAGATAAATAGATAGATAGATAGATAGATAGATAGATAGATAGATAGATAGATAGAGTTTCCTAATTTCTGGTTAGTAGAGGAAGGGTATTCTAGAACATTCTAGGGGTGTTTGGAAGCTGGACATACATGTCTTGGTCCTTTCCACACTGGTTTCATACAGTTCTGTACCCCCCCAACTTCCGCCCAGTAATTGATTTCTGAAACTTCAGCGGGACATAGTCTTTGAAAATGAAGACCACGTTGGGATTCACAGGCAATAGAAGGCAGGGGAAATTTTAAGGAAGGAGAAAAAAAGGTTTCAATGTCTCAAAGCCACAGAAAAAGAAAACTGTGCAAACTGGAGGAAAGCGAATTGAGGTAAGGATCTGATTATTTGCTGAACAGCAGGGCTGCAATCCAGGAGCCTAAGTGACTTCTCTCAAAACTGTCCCCACTGGGCCAGGGAGGTCCAGCAGTTAAGAGCACTGGCTGCTCCTCCATATGACCCAAGTTCAATTCCCAATACCCACATAGTAGCTCACAACCATCTGTAACTCCAGTTCCAGGGAATCCAATGTCCTCTTCTGACCTCCAAGTACACTGCACACACATAATGCACAGACATACATGCAGGGAAAAAAATAATAATTTTGAAAATTTTATAAAAGCCTGTCTTCATTGACAGTGAACGGTTGTGTCCAGGGGTCTAGATTAATGAGTCTGCATTAGCAGAATCACACTCCATCAGGGCTCAACGTGCCTGTCTTTTCTCTTATTTTTTCCTTGGAATTTCATGCATGCATATGATATACTTCAATCATAGCTAATGCCCACTCTCCTGTTCCAACTCCTGGATCAGCTACTACCACAACCTCCTCCTCCTAACATTTTGTCTAGTCAGTGCTCTATCCACTGAAGCATGAAAGAGTCCACAGCCCTGGAAAAAAAGAAAAAGAAAAAGAAAACAAAACAACAACAATAACAAAAACAGGCCCTGTCTCCCCCAGGCACCATCAATTGCCAACAGCTCCTTAACTGGAGAAGGCGCTTGTGAGCCCCTCCACCATCTGTGCTGGACTGTTGGATGGCTAGATCCTGCACAGGTCTTGTGCAGGCAACCACAGCAGCTGTGAGTTCATGGCTGTAACAGTGCTGTCATGTCCAGAAGACAGTTTCACAGCTGTGCTCCCTGACTCCTGGCTCCTACAATCTTTCCACCCCCTCTTCCAGAATATCCCACCACCACCCCTGGGGGGGGGGGGTGATATGGATGTCCGTTTGTGGCACAGCATGCCACAGTCACTTATTCTCTGCGGTCAGACTATCCACATGCCCTTTCCATCATGCACATCACAGGCTCCTGGTGACCCTGACAACAGCATATTCCAGAGACCTGAGTCATCTTGCAGTGACGTGAGCACTGAGGTCTGGGGTCTGCTGGGAGCTCAGCTAGTGGGACAGGCAACAGGGGGCCAGTTACTCCATGGGAACCTTATGTTCCAACGCCAGTTGCACTCCAGACTCCAATTCCATCGCAGAAAATGAAATCAAGGGTCAGGGGTTGTGGCCCACTTGCCCGTCACACTAGAGACTCTGGGCTGGATCCTCAGCATCACAGAAAACTGGGAGTTGTATCACATGCCTGTGATCCCAACACTCCATCAGTAGAGGCAGAAAGATCAGATGTTCAAGGTCATCCACAGTGAGAGAGTTAATCCCAGGCCAGCATGGAATACAGGATAACCTGCCTTAAAAGAGAGGTTCAGAAAGAAAGAAAGAAAGAAAGAAAGAAAGAAAGAAAGAAAGAAAGAAAGAAAGAAAGAAAGAAAGAAAGAAAGGAAGGAAGGAAGGAAGGAAGGAAGGAAGGAAGGAAGGAAGGAAGGAAGGCTCTTGGAGGCAGGAAGCAAGCCTTGTCTATCCTCAACACCTTGAAGGGATTCCATTAGTCAGACTGACACCATAAAGCACAGGCACACTTTCTCCAAGGACTGTCGTGTCCTGGTCCTGCCTTCAGTCAGAGGGGTGACTGTGGCGACCTCTCGGGAACCTTC